GAATTTGAATTATTTGGATTCTTCAGTTTTTTGTCAATTAAAATATGGATAAGGATTATTCATTAACTGTTTTCTGTACTTTTTTTTGAAGTCGTTGTATCAAATTTCAATGATCCCGATTGGTAGATCCCTAAGATTAGGATGCATAGATCCGGAGAGGATCCATGTCACAAATGTATTAAATTGGAAACGAATTGAAAGTGGCGAGGTCACCATCTGCTCACGAAATTAAAAGAAATTTTTTTAACAGAAGCGAACATTGAAGTTGACCTTCCCCTCTCCAATAAGTCATTTATTTATGCTTTTTGACACAAGACAAAAATTGAAGTAGGAAACCAACAATTTACACAAACATTTCTACAATCAAGTGAAGAAGTAAGCATAATTTCTAGCTAACTAAGCATGTAATTGAGGTGATATACAAATTGTAGGCAAAAACCTCATTTTTGTTTATTATATTGGATCTAAACGCTTGTCGATCTTTCATCGTGTATTTTCCGAAGCTTTATTTATCTTACACTGTTACTGCATTAGATACATACACCTCCCCATGGTTTTCTAACAAATATACATGCAAGTAAGAAACAAACCAGAACCTGCTATATAACAGCAGAGGCTGAAAGGTGCCTCGATCCAAGCCTTCTCTTCCGTAGACGCTCCGCAATGATAAAGGCCAGTTCAAGAGATTGGGAAGCGTTGAGCCTTGGGTCACAATGGGTGTGGTACCGTGAACTCAGATCATTATACGTTATAGTTCGTGAACCTCCTACACACTCCGTCACGTTTTGCCCTGTCATCTCTAAATGAGCACCTCCTGGGTAGCTTCCTTCTTGATCATGGACATCAAAGAACGCTCTCAACTCAGCCTGAGAGTAAAAAACAATAAGATCATTGCTCCTATTACAGTTGGACGTGTTACTGCAACAAAGAAAACTACCAATGGTGATTGGTGTTCAAGCGCATCGAAAGGGAATTTATTTGTTTTGACCAAATCACGGATTCATTCATTTCATAAGATGTGCAATGATTAGAGCAACTGCTCAAAAATAAATCATTAGGCATTTGACTGGTAGTTTTTCCAGCAAACTAACAATCAATCGGGCCATATATGTGAATGGCCAGCACTTCAAGCATTTTCTTCTCAATGGAGTGAAATAAAATCCTACAAATAAACAAATTATTTTATTTGGAAATGAAATCATACCTTTCACTTCACGGAATGCAGTTATTTTCCATTTTTACTTATATTTTTTTTTTGTGAAAAAACTATTTTCAACTACGGTAGAAATTGGTAGACTTACCTGACTGCAGAAATTGCTAGACTTACTTTACTGTGCACATTTTGACAGAATAGTGAATTTGTGCTATGTCCAAAACCGTTGAGCAAGGAAAACAAGTGGCAAGTGTGAAAGTGTAAATTTATGACATCATACCCGTATTGCATCGAAGGAACGTGTTTTGAGTCCACACGGAGCTTTGATAGTGTTCCCATGCATAGGGTCACTAACCCAAGTGACAATTTGACCAGCTCCACGAACTGCCCTGATCAGATGAGGAAGCTTCACTCTCATGTTCTCAGCTCCCATTCTCACAATTACGGTTATTCTTCCTGGTTTGTTCTTGGGGTTTAGGATCTCTATGAGCCTAACAAGTTCATGTGGATCCATTTTATCACTCGCCTGCATCACAATACAATCTATCATACACCACCTACATTTTCTGGTAGGAGAAACAGAAATATGTCTATCAGATTCACAGTCACAAACCAAGTTATTCAACTAAGACTTCCAAGTTCATCATAAATAACTACATTAATTTTGTTCATACAAAATAACAAATGAAAAGGAATTTAGTATCAGAAATAAAAAAGAAGTATTTTTTAGAGCATAAGTGAAAGCAGAAGTGCAGGATACCTTGACGCCAAGGGGATTAGCAACTCCTCTCAGAAACTCCACATGTGCACCATCGAGTTGACGGGTGCGTTCCCCAACCCAAAGCATGTGAGCAGAACAGTCATAGTAAAGCCCAGAAGTAGAATCCTCCCTAGTAAGTGCTTGTTCATAAGGCAGAAGCAAGCATTCATGAGATGTCCAAAACTCTGTTGAGGTCATGATTGGGTGGTCAACTGTGAGTCCAGCAGCAGCCATAAATCCAAGGACCTCATCCACCCGGTTAGCCAACTCGCGGTATCTATTGAGCCAGGCCAATTTTATGGTTAAGCCTAAACTTTTTCCCTAGTACTGGAAATCGAATATACTCAGTTGAACTCTAAAGCTACTGCAAACTAATCCACATAGAAGTCAAAGTATGTAAGTTTTGGAAATACACATGTTGAAACATTATTCAAGTACGGAACGTACTTCCTCATTGTCATCTCAACTATTTGTTCCCTTCTTCTCCGTTCATAATAAATTCTATTCTATTGAAAAACATCATTAAACTTAAGTGTGATGCTCAAGACAAACTAATAGCATGATCTAGGGCATGTTTGGAATACTAAAGAATGCACTCTCATGTTATCATACACATACGCAGTTAAGCTAGATGTAGAAAAAGGACTCAACCACCTAAATGAGGTCATCAAAACAATCAAGCCCACATCACTAACTGGTTTTCGGGGCCTTCCAGCATGAATTATATTATCCGAAACTTCACTCATATTCAGCACCACTTTAAAATAGAAGTCTATTTAAGATATCATATGTGATGATGTGTGAAACACAAAGTGGTTACTAAATAGTGAGGACAGAAGTTTGAAACTATAAAGGAGCAAGAACCATACCTATCCCCTTGCTCACTATGCTCTGTAAAATCCAAATTCCAGTGGATGACTCTCTGCATGGCTGCATACCCTCCAGTTGAAAATGCCCGCAGGAGGTTCAAAGTTGCCACAGATTGGGAATAAGCCCTAATCATCCTGCTGGGGTCCGGAATTCTTTCTTTTTCATCAAATGCATCACCATTGACATTGTCACCTCTGTAACTAGGCAGCTTCACACCATTTTTCTCTTCAAATTGATCCGATCTTGGCTTTGCAAACTGGCCAGCCATTCTCCCTACCTAAATTATCATAGCCATAATCTATGTCACTCAAACTCACAAACATTAATAATTATTATATCAATCAGTTAAAACTCAATGGCAAATAATTACAGATTAGAAAAGTTTTACCATTACTCATTTCTAAGATTACAGTTCTATCGTAGGGAACCAAAATATCAAAAAAAAAAATGAAAAATAACAAGTTTGGTTCTTTTTATTTTTATTTTTATGAAAGACGATATTGTATTATTGGAGAATAACAAAGTTCAGTACAACGAGGGAGAAAATGTTGGAACCTAACACCCAGAAGAGGGCGAAGGACAAGGCGAGACAAATGAAACATAAAGGCTTGGTTGTTGGACTCCTTTCATAGCCTTACTCTCCTTCCTCTTAGAACGTGTGGAAAGAAGAAAGATCCCAAGACTAAGGTCCTTGAACTACCATAGTATCCCAACTCCCAATAGAGCATCTCTGAAACACGGATGGAACTACGAGTCCTCAATCAAAAACAACAAAGCCTTATCCCAATCCTCAAACAATGTATCATTAACGAGTTTGGTTCTTAAAATTCAATTAGCATTCTACCTACCAATGCAGTCAATATACAAAGTCATATTTGAATATCATTTCTAATTTCATCAATTAATTTTTATTAAAGGACTGAAACAATCATAAGCCCATAACCAAAATTTCAGATAACCCAACGAACATAAATCCCAGCATGCCTCCTAAAAAATTAAAAGAAACGCTAAATATTTGAACAGAAATGATTAAAATACATGTTGGTTTTAGAAGAACAAAAATAATAAAATGGAAGAAAGAAAGAGGGAGGAAAGCAATAACCTTAATAACAGGCATTTGGCCACCAAACATAAGCACCACACCCATCTGAAGAAGCACACGGAAGGTGTCCCTTATATTGTTAGCATTGAATTCCTTGAAGCTCTCTGCGCAATCACCGCCCTGAAGAAGGAAGGCCTGCCCCTTAGCCGCCTGACCCAGTTTCTCTTCCAAGCTCCTCGCCTCTCCGGCGAACACAATCGGCGGGAAGCTCTCGAGGGTGTTGAGGACCGACTGCAGCTCCTGCTGATCTGGGTATTCAGGGAGCTGCATCGCCTTCTTCGCCGTCCAGCTGTCCAGAGTCCATTTGTGTTGTGGTTTGAAGGGTGATTCGGAGGACTTTGAAGGGTCGGCGGCATGGACGGCTGAGATGGGTTTCTGGGTTCGGAGGTGGGGCTGCGAGTGGTGGTGGTTATGAGGTTTGATGGGTTCGGGGATGATGAGGGATTTGAATGAGAGAGCAGTCTGAACAGAGTAAGCTGCAATCGCCATTTTCTTGCACGGCAATTTTGGATGTTGGAACTTGGAAGAGACGACGTTTCTATTATTTTATGTGTTCTCTTTTACTTATTTTATGTTGTCGGGAGTGATTTCTGCGCAATTATTAATCAAAAGATATTGATTGATATAAATAGCAATAAAGTTTGATCGATTTCGTTAATTTAGTTTTTGATATTTGAAATCAATTGAAGTGCACTTTGAATTTTTCAACTGTCAATTATTTTTGTCATTTATTGTAACAACATATCCCTAATTTTACTATTTTATTAAATTTAAAATAGTGAATTGACGAAAATACCCCTAGAGGTGAGATCGTTGACTTTTGTTGACCGTCTTTTCGTGATGCGTGTGAGTTACTATTTTATTGTATTCTCGAAGTACTCGACGGTACGAACGCGTAGGTGCAAGCGGAATTGAAACCAGAGTTATGGTTAAAATTTTACGAACTTACGATGTTCAAGGACATTTTAATATTTTTCGTGTAGGATTTTCTGCATGGTGGGACCCATCCACATGGGTCTCCTATCCTCTTTGTCCCCGTGTCACTTCTTCTCCCATACTCTCTTTGATTCCCTCACCTCTCATTTCAAACTCTCTCTATGCTTTCTGTGCAACGCAGGGCAACTGAGCCCTATCGCTGTATGCTATGTTTTTCGGTGAGCTCAGTTGAACCAGCCATTTGTAGCAGGCCTCGTAAAAAAACACCATCAACGTGGATGCTTCCTCTCAACTCTCTCCTGTTTACCTCTCTCTGCAAGTGCAGAGAATGAATCGTACGCCATCACCGTCGTTAGCCACATACAACCAGTGTACTCTGGTGAGTCCTCAGGTCACCATATCACTCTATCTCTTTCATATGTTTTTTCTCTTTCCCTCTCACCTCTTTCTCAACCTATTTCCTTAACTCTATTTTCTCTCGGTGAAACATCGAGAAGTTGCAGTGGCTAACACCATCGCTAACCACCCAGGACGATGGCCATTTTGGTGAGCAATATCACACAACCTCATCCTTCATCTTGCCATCTTCCCTTACAAACTCTTTGTCTCGTCGTTTTCCTTCTCGGTTCACTGATGCATAGCACCATCGCCACCCAATTTCGCGAACTCTGGTGAGATTTCTAGTTCTCCGATCAAGGTAAGCCTCAGATCACCTATGCCCTTCCTCCTATAATAATTCAGAAGTAATGTTGAGGCTGAATGTCTAATTTGGTGAGGTTTGATACAGAAACATCTCGGGGAAGAACTTCCCCAGATTCTGGAATATTTAGGCTGTGGCCGTCATGCCACTTTCAGGCTATTTTTTTGGCCAATGCCAACCACGACTCGGCCTAATCTTGGTATGGATTTGTTCCTCTCATGCTAAGCTTCATTTCCATATAAATTATGTTGAATTTGGTTAAGTATCAAGCTCGAGATGAGCTCTAAAATTTGGGAAGAAATATGCAAAATCTAGAAATGGTGAGGAAGGTGCGTGGAACCCAAGGTCCCTCCTTAGGTTTCTCGATGTGTTGAATCCGAATCATCTCTCCGTTTCCCAAAATTTGACAATTTTCAAATAGTTTCTTTATTAGCCGTACTTTGTATGAAAACGCGTTTATACGTTAGTACGTTATATATTTACATAAATGGTCTCGTTTCTAGGTGAAACGCATTGCAAGGATCATCGATGCCCCCGAGGCGAGTTCGACCCGACGACATGATTTGTGAGTGGGTCTTTTCTTTTATAGTATATATATTTGTTAGTTTCCATTAATATATTTGAAAAAGAATTTTCTACATCACACCTAGATTATGGTAATGTATATAAAGTTACCCTATTGAAGAAACTCATGTTATTATACTACGTCCTACGGGATGCACATATATGCATATTAGTATGGATGCTTTAATAGTATTTATGGTTATGAATAATATTTCATTGACTAGGGTTATTGAATTATCGATTTACCATTGCATGCTCATATTTGCATTATCTGCTCATCGTGTGCTGCATTGGTGTTAGTACTTACCAGGACCAGGGCCAGTTTTTCACGTGTATGTTCACATTGCACCGTACGCTTACTTTGGATCCATTGTAGGTACCAGTCATATCCTAGATTGCTATAGGTAATTAGGACTCGTATATGATGCGCATAGTGCTAGTCTTCATGTGATTGTAGTACTATAGCGTAAATCATTATTACACTCAGTCATGTTCATGTTAGAATACCTCTGCATGAACTCGTGTGTCAGCATATGTTAATGAGCACTCTATGTGACATGTTTATTTCTGTGAAATATTGTGATTATTGGAAGTTATAGGCCTATTTACGAATTTGGTGACGTATTGAACTCTTGAGATATTGCAGGCTACGGTAAGTATTTTCATACTATACGTAGTATGTATATTTTGGAAATTATACTTGTTTTACGGCGAGAGGTTAGAATGTTTTCAAAAAGGTTTTTATAAAACTTTATTTTTAGGTCCACTCACCCTTGTTTTTCGCCCCTCCAGGTATTAGTGGCAGGGCTTTCGTGTCGACGAGGATTTCTTGCAAAATGTTGTTGTGGGAATACTACCGATGGTATAACTCTCAATCCACTATGCTGTACTTTACTTATACTCTAACATCACATGTGGAATGAGTTCATTCCCGCTCACTAGCGCACTCTTACATTTAGGCACCTTTAGGTTTAAATTTACTCACATTTCCACATCACAACACTTTATGGCTTCGTCACCCTCTTGGTGTCAGCTAGCAAAGCTCGATTCGGAGTCCAGGTGGACATTCCGGGTTGGGGTGTGTCATTCATGAATACCCTATAATTTTGTCAAATTATTGAGGCCCATTATTTATTAAATTCAAGGTATTTTTGTCATTTTGATCGTTATTTAACAGAGATTTTTCATGGAACGACCAAAATAATTGATGGTAGACAAACTCATGGACCACTTATATCGATTTTAAATTTCAAGGACCAAAGTGAGGAGTTATACCAATCCCAATGACCATTTTGGATAAAAAAAACATTTCACAAAATATGGTCGGTTTTATGAATTCTAAAATGTCATTGTGTTTGGTTTTACGCTAAGCATTTTGTTAGTTCCAAGTACCCTTCTTATCTTATAATCACATTTTCTAACCGAAGTATATGTACGTCTTTGTTTCACATGTCCAAACCACCTTAATCTATTTTTTCTCATCTTATCTTCAATTGCGATCAATCCTACTTTACCTAGCGACAAAAAAAATTGATGTGCACAAATTATTTTCCTTACTTTAAATGTGGACTATAGTTGGCAAATTATTTTCTAACACATTAGTCTTGGTTGTATGATCTTTTATGAACAAAGAAAATTGATTAATTCGGAAAGGGCGCGAAGAGAAGGATTGTAGAGGTTTTGAGTCCATATTGGTTGTAGGGATAGGCATCATACCTTTATTGTGTTTATTACTTTTGCCGTACAAGAAAAATGACAGGGAGTTCATATTTTTTTACATTATTTTGTAGACCACATAATATTGTTGTTCATTGGTAAATACTTTCTTTAATGATTTAAATAAGGAATACAACCGTCAATCACCACATCATATGGTCTAAAAATATGATTCAAGAAGATAGTCTCTCTAACGTTACCCTTTGCACAATCTTGTTAAAAAAATTCAATGATTTATTTCATTTAGAAAGTACGGTTCAAATTCTTTGATTTTGACAAAAAAGAACTTAGAGGTACTTTGGTCATTTTCAATTTAATTCAACTTTATGAAGAAAGATTGTGAGAAAACTTTTTTCTTAGTTCTTTCAAGAGTAATGCTAAGTGAACAAACTTTTTAGACTAAATTTGTAAACCATATGATGTGTCATCAATTGAAAATAAGCACATTAATTAACACTTAAATAATAATCCAATCATGAACAACCATCAGGTGGTTTATAAAATAGGAAAACTAATGAAAATGGCTTGAAAACTTTGAGTTTTAACGATAAGGACAAAATAAAGGGTAAAGTGAATAGTACCTGGATTGACTTTTTAGTGTAAAAATGTGTTTTTTCGTTAAAGTGAATAGTACCGGGAGCTTTTCGTTAAAGTTTCCTTATAAAATTTGATCTAAAAAAAATTAGTTTCCCTATCATTACCCTTCATTTAAACATGATGATAAAGAAATTAAGGTTCGTTTAGAAGTGTTTTTAAAATGGTTGGAAGTTTTTTGGTGAAAATATTTTTGCAATCTATCCTTAATAAAAATGTAGATGAATCCTAAAAACACGCTTGAATTGCTTTTGGAGTTCAAAAATATTTTCTCTTAAGGCTTGGCAGCCCGACCCAAAGGTTTGGTTTGTTGGATGTGGGTTTGAGGGTTTGGGTCGGGTCGACCCGGTTTCAGGCCGTGGGTCGGCTGGTTTTTGAGCAAAACTTCAAAAGATCATAACTTATTCGATACTCAACCAAATCAAGCGATTCAAAAATGAAAGTTGTAGTTCTCAACAAGATGAAGAGAATGGTATTGCACAATGGCTAACTCGTTGTGGTTTGGCCGGAAAACGCCTCGAAAGTGGTTGTGCTCATTGGAAACTGGGAAAAGCTACTTCAAGCTATTTTCTACGTTTAACATGTATGTACAACTTAAAACAAGCTCCGATCTAACCTTAAAACATATTCCAAGAGTTTCTAAAAGCTTACCTAAGTCAGAAAATCCTCAAAAGCCGCTGGAGCTCGTCGGGGGAGTGTGCACCGTGATTGCCACGGTGGAGTTCCACGTTTGGCTTTGGGTTCAAGATCCAATGTCTAGGTTGTGGTGGTTTGGGGTGGTTGTGGTTGTGGTTGTGTGAGTGGAACTCAGAGAAGAGAGTGAGAGCTTGTAGAGAGGGGGTCGGGGGACTAAGTAGGAAGAAGAGAAATATGTGAGGGAAAGAGAGAAAGAGAGTTGTGAGGGAAGAGAGAGATGGAGGATTTGGGCCAGGGGAAACCAAAATAAGTGGGCTCCACAAGGCACACAATTGAAGACCCAAAAAGCAACATTTCAAAATATCTAACCCCAACCATAGTGAAATTACAAAATTGTTCTTTCGTTCCGTAAATTCTGGGATGGGTCGTTACAATATACCCCTATTAAGAAAATTTCGTCCCGAAATTTGAAATAACGTAATATACATAAATACTCAAAGATAGGAAATAATATATGTATAAAGATGAAATCAAGTCAGAGTGGTTAAATCAAAGAGAATATGCCACCCGTTGCGATCGGGTTGCAATGATTCCTCTTTCATGCCTCTAAGCTCATACCTTCTTTCCCCATCTGTATAAAAGTAGAATCATACTATATAAAGATATAAAGTAAAAAATATATAATATAAGTTCAAGAATATGTACACATACTAGACAACGTCAAAAAATACAAATATAACTATAATAAGTAAGTTAAAATACTTGCACTGAGAATTAAAACCGAAAATGAAAGCGGGTCACACCCAAGCATTCGTAACGTCATGTACTTCGAGAATAGGTGTGTGTCTTTGGGTCGAGCCCCCAACAATAACCAAATAGTAACAACTATCGTCAACCGGTCTACTTACCCACTTGCTCAACGAACCCAACGAATAAGCTATCAATATCACGGTCTGTAGCCCGTAATATCATCAACACATTGTTGTCTCGCTAAACAAGTAGCAATTCTCAAATGTGCAAAATTACCATTTATCCAACACCAAGTCGACAACATCAGAAGCACACAATTCCCAAAACAAAAATTTAAACATTCGAAAACCAATTCGCATAACTATACTATCTATACAGTGCTACTTGTAGAAACCCTCATGCCATGTTAATCGAGACGTCAGTCAAACAAAGTCTAAGATGAAGAATTCTACCAAATGGTCAAAAGTATAGTCCTCATAGACTGGTAGATAATATGCTGAGTGAGTTGACCAATAAGTATCGACACATCATCATAGTCTCCACGTGTACAAGGTGGTTTGTACCAAAAATCTATGGTGACACTCACCCGCCTCCATTCGCATCCCCGATGGGTCATCAACAACCCAAGGACAACCATGGGAATTTCTTCCTATCTCCAAACAAGAATAGAAAGAAAGTGAGAAAAGCTTGATGGTTTCCATCTCACCGTTTCCACTTACCAATAAAACAGATGTTTACTCACATATTTAGTGATATCTCATTCATACAAAACCAGTACTAAAATTGACGGAAACGGTGGTACAATTTAGTACTACCAGCATGCATGACATACACTGAAACGTGAGCCTTATTAAGAATTTTCCTTTTTTATAGCTTCATCGCCCTTAAGCTAAAGCAATTTGTTTCTTATCAACAAAGTTCCAACTTATTGGACTTTCAAATCTCATCTCATGTCAACCGACACTCGCTCATTCAACTCACGTGTTACTGATCAAAATCTTGGGCTTCCTACTTGAAATCCATCGATACATGTTTGACTAAGAAGTGTGCCGACAATACTCACCGTGGATCGGATGCCAAAGTAAGGCCAAATCCTTGAAGGGAAAACAATAATGAGACATGGGTAGCTTAGATGAAGGTAAGAAATCTATGGGATTTCTAACTAAGAGCATTTAGCTATAGCATTTGCCTAACCAATATGGTACAAATGTGCAAACAACTTATTGGTCACAAAGGTGCAAACAACTTCTTGGTTGGAAAGGATGCAACATTTCTCGCTGTAGAGAAAATGCCACCAGATTTTACAACAAAGGAAAAAGGTTACCAGCTTAGGTCGTAGATAGAATGGTTTACTCATGCGGTTCCAACCGTCAAGATG